GTTAGCCCAGCAGAACTCAGATCAAGTAATCCGACACTTGTTGCACTTAGATTTGTGACTTAGCTTGTTAGCCCAGCTGGGCTTTTCCTTCACACATTCAGAGCTGTGTGACCATCACCAGTCTAGTTCCAGAACATTGCATCACCCCAAGAAGAAACCCCATTCCCGTGAGCAGTCACACCCCCTCCTCCCCCAGCCCCTGACAGCCAGGAGCCCCCTCTCTGTGTCTGGGGACTGGCCTGTTCCGGACGCCTCACATCCACGGACTCGCACACTGTGTGTCCTTCTGTGTCTGCTTCTCTCCCTGAGCACCGTGCTCTCAGGGTCCGTCCACGTGGTGGCAAGTGTCAGGGCTTCTCTCCTGGTCACGGCTGAGTGATGTCCTTGTGTGTGGAGGGACACATGGTGTTCATCCATTTATCTGTCGATGGACACTTGGGCTGTCCCATTTCTGGCTGCTGTGAGTCCTGCTGCTGTGAACCCATGTGTGCACATCTCGTTTCTGTTGGAGCAAATCCCTGGATGGGGCGGCGCTTTAACCTTTGAGGAGCTGCTGGACTGTCTGCCCAGTGGCTACCTCTCTCACATTCCCACCTGGCAGGTGTGAGGGTCCAGCTTCTCCACTTTGAAAAGCTCTCTGGCTGTTAAGTAGGGGCCCGGGGGCTCAGGGAGGCTGAGAGGTCTGGAAGCAAGGGATGGGGTGCAAGTGCAGGATGGCCACTTGCTGGTGACCGGGATGTGGAGTGAGGGATGGGAGGGGTCCAGGACAGAACTGCCTATCAACCTGAACACCCCAGGTAGCAGAAGGGACTGTGTTAGGGTGATCCATCTGTTATGGGTCCAGGACCCCAGAGCTGGAGTCACAGGGTTGTGGCTGAGGTGAGGTACCCAGCCCTAACATGACTTTTCATGTCCCCTCCTCAGGAGGCAACACATTCGAGACCCACATCATTGGGGGTCGAGAGGCTGCCCCCAACTCCCACCCATACATGGTCTCCCTGCAGAAAGCCGGCACCCACAGGTGTGGGGGGGTCCTTGTGCACCAGAAGTGGGTGTTGACCGCTGCCCACTGCCTGACCAACCGGTGAGTCACCCTGCCCTGCCCCACCCCCATCACTCTGTCTCCAAATCTATCCTGTGGTCCCTGTTCTCACCAAGAGGTGGGGTCCTGAGAGATTTAAGACCCCTGTAGCATTGCAGGAGGTCCCGTTCACCGCTCCAGTGATCCTGAGGTGTGCATATTGACATCGACCTCAGGCCTGTGTCTGTGACGTTAGGCTGAGAGGATTCCAGGGGACCGTTTATTTGCTACCACAAAGCACCTTCCAACTGGACAGAGTTGAGCCTCTTGTGACACCCAGGAATATGTCTCCCACTTGTGGCCACGGGGATAGAGCTGGCCTATGAGTGTGGCAGAGCCAACACAGAGAGGAACCTGGGTCCCTGGTGCCATTCTGAAGCCACCAAATAAGCCCATCCTGGAGCTGCCCTACCTCTGGCTTGGCCAGTAATAAAGACCACAGATCAAACTCGGTGAAGTAACCAAAGGCAACCCGTTGGTTCATGTAACTGGAAATGCTAAAATGACACGGCAGTCAGGCACAGCTTGATCCAGGTGCTCACTGAGGTGCTCAGAAGCCTGGGCCTGTCTCTCAACTCTGCTGTCTTGCCCCTTGGCCACATTATCAAGAAGGCGCTCCCCTGTGGTGGCAAGGATGAGCCCCCTTAAGTCCTGTAAAAAGAGCTTGTTTCTCTACAGTTTGGGCAAACGGATAAGGATAGATACTGACAGACCCAGCCTAGGTCTTGTGCCAGCTGGCTGATGTTGAGTCATGACAGATGCCCTGGGTGAGACGGGAGCTCCTGCTGTCTGGAGCCCCTGGCTGTGGGGAGCCAGGGGGCGGTCAGCATTTTTAGACACACACAGCACATGCCTCTGGCCTGGGCTTAGCTGGAGTCAGGGGCCAGGTGGGAGCAGGGAAGGCTTCCTGCAGGACGATGGGAGAAAGCAGGTTAAATGGGAGCAGGAAGAAGCCACAGGGAGGCTGGGTGAGGATTACGGGACAGCAAGTGTGTGGGGTGTGTGGAGGGGTCCTGCAAGGCTGCTACTCACACCCTCACCCTGCTGCCACAGGATAGAACAGCTGAGGCTGGTGCTGGGGCTCCACGTGCTGGGAGACCCCAGCCTTACCTACCGCATCAGGAAGGTTGTCAAGCACCCTGAGTACAAGGAGGCCCCCAGTCTGCAGAATGACCTCGCGCTGCTTAAGGTGCTGTCGGTGGGAGAAATGATAGTTCCTGACCTCCCCCTACTGTCTCTCCCAGAGGGGCTCCCTCCCCCACTGCTCCTCCCTCAGTGTGCCCCCCAGGGTCCCCTCCACAATCCACCTGCCCCTTCCTGTCCCCATAGCTGGATGGGAAGGTGAAGCCCAGCAGGACCATCCGGCCCCTGGCCTTGCCCCAAAGGCGCCAGGCAGTGGCAGCAGGAGCACGGTGCAGTGTGGCTGGCTGGGGCCTGACCCACCAGGGTGGGCAGCTGGCCAAAGCGCTGCAGGAATTGGATGTGCACGTGCTGGATGCCAGGATGTGCAACAACAGTCGTTTCTGGAACGGGGACATCACCCCCGACATGATCTGCCTGGCGGCCAACGCTAAGAACCAGGCCCCCTGCAAGGTAAGGACATACGGTGGGGTGGGGCAGGCAGCAGCCCTGGTGGGAGGCACGGGCCAGCGGCCAGGCAACTCCACAAGCCCCGACTCTCCCTTGGCCCTGGCTCTCTCCATTCGCTGGGGGTCCTAAAGGTTGGCACTACACAAGCCCACTTCTCACATGCAGAAACTGAGGCACAGAGAGGTTAAGCAGCTTGCCTGTGGTCACACAGGCAAGAAGCGGCAGAGCGGAGGTTTGAACTCCAGCACCGAGGAAGATCATGGCATATACAGCACACGGCAGCTTGTGCAAAGGCCCTGCGGTGGGAAAGGAGCAAAGAGGGTTAAAGGGACAGGAAGGAAGGAGAGAGTGAAAGAGGTGGGGGGAGGGAGGGGCCGGGAGATAAGGGATAAGGCCTAACAGCCACAGGGCAGGGTCTCTGCCCTGGAATCAGCCTCGCGCCCCCAGGGATACTCAGGTCCCCCGGGAGCCGGCGGCGAAGGTGACCTGCGCTCCACCTCCGCAGGGGGACTCAGGCGGGCCTGTGGTATGCCGCAGAGGCCAGGTGGCTGGAATCGTGTCGTTCAGCTCCAAGGTCTGCACCGACATCTTCAAGCCCTCCGTGGCCACCGCCGTGGCCCCCTATACTCCCTGGATCAAGAAGACCATCCGCCGCTAGCAGTCCCCGCTTGGGCCTGACCTCCAGAGGGTGACCCGACTCCTGCGCTCCTGCGGGATTAAGGGGGCGAGGGGGCAGGCAGACAGGGGACGCATGTCAGAAGACCAATAAACTGTAGTAAGGAAACCGTATGAGTCTATCCAGATTCCACCCCGCGTCCACCCGCGCTGGCCGTGCTCAGCCTGGGTTCCCCGCCGGTAACACAGCGGCCGCGCTTCTGAGGCTGCGCGGGCCGCTCAGCTCCGCGAGGGCGCCGGGCGACGGCAGGGGGCGGTGTTGGCCAGCGCTGGGTTCCGGAGCCAGCCACTCTCTCTCTCTCTTTTCTTTTTTTGGTTTCCTTTTTTACACTTTTCCTTTCTTCTTCTTTTTAATGTTTTTTAATGGAGGAGGAGAGGTAATTTAAGATTTATGCATTTGTTTTATTTTTCTTTAAACAGAGGTGCTGGGGATTGAACCCAAGACCTTGAGCATGAGAAGTGTGCCCTCTACCACTGAGCTACACCCTCCCCCACCTGAAGCCAGACTCTGTCCGGCAGGGGGCGGGCCGGGCGTGCGCGCAGGGTGCTGGGTGCTGGGCGGTGGGGAGGTAAGGACAACTGAAGGAAGCACCCTAGAGAATCCTCCTCTCTTATTTTATTTATTTATTTATTTAGATACTATGTGTAATGAGATATAATTCACATGCCACCCTTTAAAAAATTATTTTTTTAATGGAAGTACTGGGGATTGAGCCCAGGATCTCCTGCATGCTAACCACGCGCTCTACCGCTTAGCTACACCCTCCCCCCAAAATTATTTTTAATAACTGCTTTTTGCTTTATTCTGCATTTCACGTAACAGTCCCAAGCCCAACACGTGGTTTTTCTTTTCTGACTTTGTTATTCTTTCAACAGACATTCTCCCAACAGCGTATGCAATGGGATCTTCACCTGGTGGGTCCACGTTGACCCTCCAAGATCCTGGCTCTCCAGCAAGAGACCATGGTCCTTCCTTTCCACTGCCCCCACGTCTGTCTGTGCTCGGCTCTGCCTTGGTCCCACACCCTTGAGATGTCTTCAGGACAGGAACGCCAAACAGTTTTATGTGTCACCAATGAGTAAACGCGGCGGGGGGCTCCTGGGAACCTCGGATGGAGGGTAAGAAGGTGGGCGCGTCTGGGTTCCCTCACAAAGAATGCTGCGCTCGATTGGCCACGCCCACTAGATAGACTCTTCTGGAGAAGGGGTGCGGGGAGAAGGGGTCCCACGCTGGCCACGGATGTGCACTGCATCCTTGCCTTAGGGGATTCAGCTTCGCCGGCTGCGCTGTCTCACGGGCCAGGTGGCCAAGGAGGCAGTCTGAAAGTGCGTAAGCCCCAAGCGAGAGGGAGCTTGGAGGGACAGCCCCTGTGGGGCCCCGCAGGGGTCCACGTGCTGCAGGCCACGCTGGCATTACCTCCTTGACCTCTGGAGTTGGGCTTGTCCAAAGAGTTGGACGCCACTCAGAAATAACCGTAGTCGCTGGATAAACTTTCAAGAATGTCCAGTCCAAACTCAAGAGGTTTATCTTCCATGTGCTACCGAGAAATTAAGATAGAGGTAAAGGACGGTCTGACTTTAATCAAGTTCCAAAGTGAGGGCTCACTGCTTTGACAAGCAGCGTCCTATGGTGGTTGGGGTGGGGGTGGGGGGGTGGCGTATTGCTTAAGTGGCAGAGCAGACGCTCAGCAGGCACAGGGTCCTGAGTTCAATCCCCAGTGCCACCTCTAAAACTAAATAAACCTAATTACCTACCCCTCAAAAAACAAACCACTTGAAAGAAAGAGAGAGAGAAAGGAAGAAAAGCAGCGTCTTGGAAGAAGACGCCAGGGTGTGAGTAAAAGAATGTTTCCAGAAAACACAGAAGGCACCAACATGAACCTACTGCGCCGTCGGCTCTCCTCCACGCCTCTCCACATCCTGAGAGGGGAGGCTGCGTCGTCCAGCCGGCTCTGCGAGGCCACCGTGCCCCGTGGGCACGTCCAGGTGTCTGTTCCAGTCCTCCACTCTCTCCTTGGGGTTTTGGATGCTCTTCAAGCCCCTTTCCGTTTTGCTGGGTCTTCTCAAGGCTGCCTGAGAGCCTCAAGGCTCTCGTCTTCATTCTTTCTGCTCCTTCCTGTTCCGGGAGCTTCACCTCATCTTTCTCCTTTTCCTTCCTCCACTTCAGCCGAGCCGTGCGATGCCTTTTAACTTTCGGGACCCTCCTGGACCTGCTCATAGGCGCCCATTTCACAAGTCACTGTTTTAAAAAGTGAACAAGTCAGTGGTTTTCAGTACATTCACAGGGCTGTGTAACCATCACCTCTGTCTAGTTCCAGAACCTCCCATCACCCCTAAAGGAAGCCCCACCCCCATGAGAAGTCACCCCAGCCCCTGACAGCCAGGAACCCCATCTCTGTGTCTGTGCACTGGCCTGTTCTGGGCGTTTCACATCCATGGACTCACACACTGTGTGTCCTTCTGTGTCCGCTTCTCTCACTGAGCATCGTGCTCTCAGGGTCCATCCATGTGGTGGCAAGTGTCAGGGCTGCTCTCCTGTTCACGGCTGAGTGATGCTCCTGTGTGTGGAGGGACACACGTGGATCTGTCCACCTGTCAGTGGACACTTGGGTTACTTCCACTCTGGCTGCTGCAGACCTGCGTGCACAAGCGTGTGTTTTCGGTTCTCCCAAGTGTGAGAGATTGCTGGGCCAGGTGGTGACTCCATTTTTAGCAGTTTTAGGAGCTGCTGTTTTCCAGCAGAATCTCTTGATTTGATTAGGAAAATGCTCAAACATACAGCCAAGCTGAAATCATGGCACACGGAACAGCCAGGTGCCCACTGTGCAGGCTCTGCTATGAGCAGCTTCGTCCACATTCAGTCCATCCCTCTGTCCACTGGGCTCCGTTGCTGGTGTATTTCACAGGAGGCCAAAGCCTCCAGGCAGGTCTGCAGAGGCCGCAGTGTAGGGCCAGGGCTGGGACTGCGGCTTTATTTAGAGCCCTGTGTCTCCCACCATCTCACTCACAAGGCAAAGTGCAGACATCTGACTCAGGAATGTGCTGTTGAGACAGCAACAGATGTGTGTAATCCAAGCCCCGAGGATCCACACCAGTGACCCCTCAGCCCCACGCAGTTGGTCTTGTCTTAAACTGAGTTTTTGCATAGTGACTACTGCCCAGGGACTGTTAGTGAAAGGGACAGAAGGCCACCCAGGGGAAGACAGTGCCCCTGACCCCGCCATCCCCCATGAAAACATTTTCCCTTAGAAGCAACTGTCACCAGTGTCTCTCGTCCTCACCCAAGGGCGTTCTGAGCAGGAAAGGTTGCAGGCCCTCCACCCAGGCCTTGGACCAGCTCCTGGCCTCACCTTCACACATCTCCTCCGCGGTCCCACCCGCCACCCGGCCCGCACCCAAGGGTGTATCTGGGCTGCAGGCCCAGAAGTGGAGTTTGCCCATCAAATCCAAGTGCTTTTCCCTGTTTGGCGATACAGCAGAATTTCTTGTCTGCTGAGCACCGACTGAATGCCAGGCCTCCCAGGAAGCACCGGGCTGCATTGGAAAACCCTCCCCTTCTTTATTTCAGAGCAAGAGCGAGGAGGGGGAGGGAGGGAGACTGCGCACAGTCCGTCTCTCTCCTTTTTCTGTTTTTCTAATTGCTAAAGGTTCTTTATCTTTTTAAAATTTTTAACTTTTATTATTTTTTAATTGAAGCATAGTCAGTTTATAATGTTATATCAGTTTCTGCCGTACAGTGTAATCTTTCAGTCATATATGTACATATGTATATTCCTTTTCACTTTCTTTTATCCTTTTTTAAAATAGAGTTCATTTTTTTATTTGTCTTGTTTTGCTTGTTCGTTTTTTGACAGAGATACTGGGGACCGAACCCAGGACCTCGTGCATGCTAAGCATGTGCTCTGCCACTGAGCTGTCCCCTCCCCTCTACCCGCAGTGGAGATTTTTCCCCAGTGTTTCTCTCATGACTGGATAACCCATCACAAGACTGATGGGGCTGGGACAGGCAGGTGCCTTGTTAACCTTTTAACACTGTTTACTGAGGTGTCACTTGTGTACTGGACACACCCGGGCCACAGCAGCCCTGTGACGTCCCACAGAGCAAACGGGGATCCGAGTCTGTGGTTGGTCTTTGTGCTGCCCTGGCACAGAACTCCCAGACCCTCCCAGTGTCCTCAGTGCTGAGAGAGGCCAGGGATCAGCTGCTGCTCCCCACACGCCCCCTTCAGTCACACGAGTCTGTCGGTGACGGGGAGGGATGGGGCTGGAGGCCAGGGAGACCCTCTCAGGCCCACCCGCCGGCCTCTGGGAAGGGAGGGGACGGCAGACCCGGAAATTCTGGAACTAAGAGATCTGATGAGCTCAGGTCGTCCACGAGAATCCCCACGCCGGGAGGGTGGCACATCCCACCCCACGAGGACAGGGCCTCTGAATCCCGCCCTACAAGTGTCTTCCTCTGTTCCTCGGTCAGGACTCCAATAAACTCATGTAACTGCTTCCCTGGATTCTATGAGCTGCTCCCGAAAACTAATTGAACCCAAGGAGGAAGGCTGTGGGAGTCCCGATTTACAGCCGGTTGATCAGAAGCTCCAGTGACCCCTGGACTTGGGACCAGTGTCCGAGGTGGGAGCAGTACTGTGGGGCTGGGACCCTGCGCTGTGGGGTTGGGCCTGAGTTCACTCCACAGGACACGGCCGGCCAGAGAGCCGCCTGCGTTGCTGGTAAACTCCCCCCTCCCAGAGCCTTGTAACCAGCGCCCAGAGGGACAGACAGACCAGGAGTGCCCCGCCCAGTGCCCTCCCCAACACGGTTCCCACCGACGGTCCCCAGCCCCTGAGCTGGGTCCTGGGGTGCTGTGACCCTCTGCCTCTACCCCAGCCTTTCGTGGGTGCACTGTCCAGCCGGCAGAAAGGCTGGGGGACCCTGTGGAGAACAAGTGTCCCTCCCACTGCCAGGGCCCATGGTCAGCACAGGTCTGCCCTGCCTGCGCCAGGAACTCGGGGCTGAAGGCGGTGAAGTGAGTTGTGACCCTCACCCTGTGTCACCTGCCCCTCATCCCAGAATGAGGTCCCCCCTCTCTGTCCCCCAACGAGGACTTCACCACAACCCCCCAGGGTGCCTGGAATTCCGCTCAAATTCTGATTCCCCTGCACTTAAAAAAATCTTTTAAAAGTTGTGGCAAAATTCACTCAACATACTATTTGCCCACGTAAAGTGAGCAACTCAGGGGCATTTAGTACAATCACGATGTGCCACCATCATCTCTAATTCCAAACATCCCATCACCCCAGAAGGAGGGCCCGTCTCCACCAGCAGTCACTCCCAATCTTCCCCAGCCCCTGACAGCCAGGAGCCCCCTCCCTGGGTCTGGGGACTGGCCTGTTCTGGACGCCTCACATCCGTGGACTCGCACACTGTGTGTCCTCCTGTGTCTGCTTCTCTCCCTGAGCTCGTGCTCTCAGGGGCCGTCCACGTGGGAGCGGGTGTCAGGGCTGCTCTCCTGCTCATGGCTGAGTGACGTTCCCGTGTGTGGAGGGACCGTGTAGTGTTCATCCATTTATCCGTCAGTGGATGTTGGGGTGTTTCCACCTTCTGCCTACCCCAGCTGGCCACTGCTCTCCTGCAGCTCAGCTCCAGTTCCACCAGCCCCGTGGCCCCTGCACTCATTCTGCCAGAAGCTGAAGTGGGGTTTTTGTTTGTTTTAAAAATTTTTTATTTTTTGGTGGGGGGAGGTAACTAGGTTTATTTATTTATTTATTCTTAGCGGAGGTACTGGGGACCTCATGCATGCTGAGCGCACGCTCTGCAACTTGAGCTATACCCTTCCCCCCAGTTTTTATGGACCTTTGACGTCCTCCAGTGAGACCCTGATTTGGGGGCTGGCCGGGGCCTGGGTAGCTCCAACTGGATGGAGATCAGTGGAGGCCCGGCTGTGGTTCGCAGGGCTGGAGCCACCCTGGGGAAGGAAGCTTATCTCTCCTCCCAGCTGTTCCTTCCCGGGGCCCCACCCTACCCGCAGGGGAGCGGGAGCCTGCGCAGCTTAAAGTGACAGAGGGAGCCAGCAGCGGGAGATGCTGGTGGACTCAGGGCACCCCAGGTAGCGTCAAAGGGCACAACCAGGTGGCGTGGCTGGGCTGGGCGGGCTGCTCTGGTCTCTGCCGGTTTCAGCTGGATGGCCATGGAGGGGGAAGGGGCTGTGCACTGAAGGAGTCTCCGGAACAGGGCCCATTGACCCGGCCGCTCAGAACAGCTGGATCCTGTCCCAGAGTGATGGCCGCAGGAGCAGCAGGGCTGCTGAATGCCCCACAGGCCGACTGGCCCTGGGACCTAGGAAAGGCATGCCCACAAAGGCTGAGGTCGAAGCGTCGGGAGATGTACCGGAGGGTGCAGAACCAAGATTAATTTACAGGGACACTGGGGTGAGGCCTCAGCTGCCACCCGTTCTGTCAGATCTTAGGGGAGAAGGTGGGTGCCCCTTCTCACCCCCAAACAGTTCTGGGAAAAAACTGTGAGCGGGAGAGACAAGGGGAGACACAGAGACAGAGACAGAGAGACAGAGACAGGGAGGCAGAGAGGGCGCCCGCGTGGCCCACGTGCCCAGCTGGGCATCCAGGCGAAGGGGGTTACTGTCCACACGACTTCCCTGTAGAGCCAAGGGCTTCTCAAAACAAAAGGTAGAGGAAGAAAGACCCCTCCTGTTCTTCCGCTCAGACAAGACGTCAGCAAACCGGGTGAGGGACCCTTAGCCTCCAGGAAACTGCAGACGCTCACCACCCAAGATGTCCAGGGAGGGTTTCCGTCTGACAACCCCCCGGGTGCTGGTGACACTGCATGTAACAGTATAGCTGCGGTGCAGGGGCAGAATCTTCCAGATTCTGCAGTCAGCACGGCGAACCCACCCCGGACGGGGGAAAGGCTGGGCCATCCTCGTGGGACTCGGGATGGCGGGGGTGCCGGGGTGACCCTCTGCCACTTTCTGGGGAGAACACAAGTGGACTGAGGAGACGCCCAAGGAGGTGAGAGCACGGCTAGGCTGTGAACCCCGCCCTGGGCGTGTCTGCCTGTGAAGCCGGTGCCAGGTGGGTGGGTGGCTCCGGGTCCTCCCCACCCCACCTGCCTAAGCACCTCCAGCTCAAAGAACCGGCCACCGTGTCCGCTTGTCCCACTCTAGGGCGGCTGCAGCAAAGCACCAGAAACTGGGCTCCTTACACAGAAGAACCATGTCCTTAAGGTGCTGGAGGCTACACATTAGAGACCAGAGTGTGGGCAGGGCCTTGCTCCTTCCGGAGGCTCCAGGGGAGGGTCCCCCTGCCTCTTCCAGCTTCTGGGGGCTCCAGGCATCCCTGGGCTTGTGGCTGCCTCCCTCCCACCTCTGCCTCCGTCTTCATGTGGTTTCTCCTCGGTGTTTGTCTCTCCGCTTCTGTCTCTTCTAAGAACTCTGTCATTGGATTCGTCTTCATGGACTACGACCACATCTCAAGGTCTGTAAAGCAGCTGCAGCTGCAGAGACCTCTTCTCCATGTAAGGTCCCATTCACAGGTCTGATAGCAGCCAGAGAACCCACTGCACCATTCCATCCCCGCCCAGGTCCACGCTCCTCGTGCCCTAGACCCACAACGCACATCAGACAAGGAGGACCCTCCCTCCCTCCCTCGCTGAGATCCCTGCCAGGGCTCCCTAGTGCCCTGAGGGCAAAATCTACACTCTCACTGCCAGTCACCACCTGGGGAGCAGCTGGATTTCAAAACTCCCTCTCAGAAAAATGCACATAAAAAACTAAGCTGGAACATTTTAGCGATGGACAGATGGGTGGGACAGAGCATGAAAATTCCATGCCCTCTCCTCTCCCCTTGTCTGTGAACTTGCAAGGTTTTAGAACAAAAAGTAGAGAGCAAACAAATCAAAACAGACACCCTACGACGGGACAGCGGCTGGTGTCCTGAGCACGAGGCCCCGAGACAGGACGGCTGGGGACTGTGTGGCATGGGAAAAGCACGCCAGGTGCAACCACAGCCCAGGCAAGGGCTGGGGGCAGGGAACAAGGCCAGCGAGGCTGGAGCTAAACCCCAGGGTAGAGGGAGGGCCTGAGGCCCCAGGGGTCAGCGGGTCCAGGCCTGGGGCTGCAGGAAGAATTTGGCTTTTGCTTTGAGAGCTGCTCCTTCCCTTTCTTGTGGGGCTGCCAAGCTGGAACCATGCCTTCCCTGCCCATCAGTATGAGGAACTCAGGGCCCCTCCCGGGAGCCTGCAGGCCTCCTCCAGTGGGGCAGGGTGGGGCGGGAAGACCCCGTGAAGATCTTGACTCACCCACAGCCCCCAGCTGAGGGCAGATGGGAAGCACCACCCAGCCCAGGCCCTGCTGTCTGTCTCTGCCCGCAGGCCCTGCGGACAGTGAGCCAGCAGGGAGCCTGGGATGCCCGTGAGCTCATGGAGAGTGAGTCGTGCGGTAAGTGGAGCCGCCGAGGGTGACTGGCCCCACTGCTCTCCGCAGCCAGGGTCAGAGGTGCCAGGCAGAGTACAGGACTGCAGGCCGGCCAGTGAGATCTGAACTTCTGAGGTACAACAGGCGATTTCAGCAGATGTATATGCCAGATACCACGTGGGACACGCTTATACTAAATCATGACTGATTTTTTAACAACGTGAAATCCACGTGTAACTGGGTGTCCTGTGTTGTGGTCGGCTATGTCCAGCCACCCTGGAGGGGGTGATCCTGGAAGGCCTCTTCTTGACAGACGGGCACAGGACTCTCCTGCCCCGGAGTGGGGCCATGGAGTGAGCAGGGGCAGCGAAGGCTTTCCAGGGAGGGCACTGGACTACTGGTCTTCAAGGAGGCACAGCGTTGTTTTGTAAACACAGACAAAGGCTTCTTGCAGCCCTAATATTTCCCACGAGATCAGTCCCCAGCCCAGCTCTGGGAGGGCAGGGGGCGTGGAGTTCCGCCCAGGCCGGGAGGTGCTCTAAAGCCAGCTGGCTGGCTGCCTCCCTCATTCCGCACGTAGCCTTCCCACCCCACTGGGTGCAGCCTAGCAGAGCCTCACCGCCCCAGGCTGGGGCTCCGAAGTAGGCTGGGAGGCTCCTAGGCCCTGCGAGCAGGTCTCCGAGGGTGGAGCCCTCCCAAAGCTCACAGCCTCCTTGTCAGTGAGTCCTGGCCCGTCTGCCACATCTTTCCAGCCTTTGCCCCCAGCGTCCCCGCAGCTGACAGACTGTTCTCAGACTCACAGCTCACACCTTCCCTGGCTGCTACTCCCTCCTCATTCACATGTCACCTCCAATGGCATCACATCCAAGAGGCCACCTGACCCTTGATCTACAGCAGTGCCCCCTGACCCACATCACCTCATTTTTTAAATTGAGACGATTCACTTACCGGACAACCTCCCACTGAAAGCATAAATTCAGTGGGTGTTGGGACATGCACAGAGCTGGGCATTCATCAGTACGATCAGTTTCAGAATGTTCTCATCACCCTGAAAAGAAGCCTGGCCCCATCAGCAGGCACCACCACCACCACCCCCAGCCCCTGACGACCAGGAGCCCCCTCCCTGGGTCTGGGGACTGGCCTGTTCTGGACGCCTCACATCCGTGGACTCACACGCTGTGTGTCCTTCTGTGTCTGCTTCTCTCCCTGAGCACCGTGCTCTCAGGGCCCGTCCACGTGGTGGCAGGTGGCAGGGCTTCTCTCCTTTCCAAGGCTGAGTAATACTTCGGCGTGTGGACAGACACATTTTCTTTATTCTTTCAGTCATTGATGAGCATTTGGGCTGTGTCCACTTTTGAGTGTGGTGACTTGTGCTGCTGTGAACATTCCGGTGTAAGTGTCTGCGTGGATGTGAGTTCTCAGTTTTCAGACCTAGGACTGGCACTGATGAGTCAGGTAGTTGCGCCGTTTCACCTTTGCAGGAGTGGCTGCACCATTCCCCATCCTCAACAGCCCTGCACCGGGGTTTCACTTTCTCCAACTTGGGATTTTCTGCCCTTCTGATGACAGCCACCGTGGTGGGTGTGAAGTGGTGTCTTACCATGGTTTCCGCTTGCACTCCCCTCAGTGCTTATTGTTAACTTGAATGTCTTCTGGAGGCAGGTGTATTCAGATCCTTTGCCCATTTTTCAGTTGGGTTCTATGTCCTCTTCAAAAATTGGGTTGTCAGACTGAAAAATTGTGCTCTACACTGGAATCTGACACAACATTGTAAAATGATTATAAATCAATAAAAAATGTTAAAAAAATTGGGTTGTCAGAATATGAAAACGAATATATGTAAATTCAGGTATGACTGAAGCATTGTGCTATACACCAGAAATGGACATAACATTGTAAATTGACTATACTTCAATTTAAAAAGAAAGTTTAAAAAAAAAGTTAAAAAAAATTGGGTTGTGACGGGGGAGGGATAGGTTAGCGGTAGAGTGCGCGCTTGGCATGCACAAGGTCCTGGGTTCAATCCCCAGTACTGCCATTATAAATAATTAAAAACCTAATTACCTCCCCCTACCTGATGAAAAAGAAAATTGGGTTGTTTGTTCCTTATATATTCTAGATACAAGTCCCTTGTCAGATATGTGATTTCCCAGTATTTTCTCCTATTCTGTGCAGTTTTTTTTTCACTTTCTTCTTGGTGTCCTTTGAAGCGCAAAAGTTTTTAATTCTGATGAAGTCCAGTTTATGTCTTTGTTTTTGTTGCTTGCGCTTTTGGTGACACATGTGAGAAACCACTGCCTAATCCAGGGTCAAGAAGATAACGTACCCTGGTTTTGTTTGAAATTCTTTTGTCATTTAAAAAAAAGTATTTGTGTGAAAACACAGGGACCTCAGGGTGCGTTTTCCAGCCAAATGCAGGCCGGCCAGTTACATTCGATTTCCATTCAGATAAATGGTGAATACGTTCCTTGCACAACCGTGTCAAACCCCGCACGGGACATTTACACCAAGAACTTACTCATTCTCTACCTGAAAGTCTAACCTAACTGCCATCCAGGTATTTTTATTCGCTACATCTGGCAGCCTCGCCCCAGGGGACACATCCCACCTGTTCACAGGGATCCCCAGGGACTCTCTCGATGCTTTAAAAAATTTTTTTGTACTGTGGTAAAGTACACAGAAATTGAGCATTTTAACCACTTTGAGCGTTCAGTTCTGATCTCACTTCCAACTTCGTGGAAGAAGGAAGAGAGGAGCGAGGCTCCCCGCCCGGCCTCGCAGGCCCCGCCCCCGTTTTCCAGCAACGTGGCCACGCCCCTGGGCCGAGGGCGCGGCCCGCCCCAGTGATCACGTGGCCCCT